AGTAATTTATAAATTATGCAATCTATATCTACATAATAATAAAATTGTAACTGATCGCTGTTTGTACATGGAAGATATTTGAGAAAAACTATTATTGGGGGTCTACATTATCGCAATAGAACCCAAAACGATGATTTTTAGATATTTTATCTGTTTGTGCATTTTTGCGCGCTAATCTTAGAAACGGCTTGACCGATTTGGGAGCGGTTTTCACCAATGTATTGTAGTAAGCGTCATTTAACATTAAGTATTTGTTTTATTTCAATCGGTTCATAAATAAAAAAGTTATGTAAATTTAAAGAATCACCTATCAACGAACCCGAACGAAGCGAGGGTGAATCACTAGTATCTAAATATACCATAGCAGTAATTAAACAATAATTAGCTTAAGTAAATAATTCTAGCGTTAATTATCCGAAATAAATCGCTGTCACTTACTTCTTTATTATACAGTAGGTATAGGCTAAATCCCCCCCAACGTGCGTTCACCTTGTCGTGGTGGGGGGGCTCATTAGTGCCCGGCAATCCAGCCGGGCGCGAAGCCAAGAAACGCACAGGGAGGTGGCCCGCTTTGTTGGGCGGTGGGAGGTGGCCCTCTTCGGAGGGCGGTGTACCACGCGGGTTGCTCCTGGTACTACTCTGATAGCAGAGTGGACCTTGGAGAAACCTCGTGGCTGTTGTGGTCTGCTTCGGCAGACCTGCCGTCGGAGCGTCGTAGTTGAATGCGTAAGCGATCCTGCGACGCCCCATTAAGACGGGGGAAGGTTTTGTTGGGTTTTAGTGCGTAGTACTGGCTTTGCCGGTGAGTCCCACGCCTCGTGCGTAAATGCATTTCCCAACGTTAAAAAAAAGGTATAGGCAAAATGATCCGCCATTTTAATCCCATATTTTATCAGCGTATTTTAAAGGTTTTTTCACGTGAATTGTTAGTCTAGCACTGGTCTTTCATATGAAAATGCTATTTTAGTATTGAATTCATTTAAAATTTCAAAGACTTCATCTATATTTTGAAAATCCTTTGAACAAGAGTCTTTTGAAATGCGTCAAGTTATATATAGAAGCAGATTAATATATAATCCAGAGCTAGCAGTTCCAAGCGAGCGATACTTTTAGTCCAACGGCCAATTACGTGGGTGTGTCTAACCGGAAAAGTTGACGATTATCCAATATATACGAGTGCATTGTAGACTGCAGTCAAGGATGGATGCTAATTGAATTCCTTCAACGCTAACTCTATTTATAGTTTGCTACCTTTTTAATTATTTAAATCTAGGTGGAAAACTTAGTTTTTCCGCGGGATAACAGTAAGTATGACAATTATTGGCGGTCAGAAACTTTGAGTGAGACTGTTAGAAGAGTGAATAAAAAGATTTTATGCATTTAGGAACATCATGAATTTACAAAACTCACAAACTTACAAAAACCGGAAAATCTGTTATGTGCTTTTTGTATGGAGAATTTGAGCTTCGTCTTACTTTCGCTAGGGGCGCTTGCTTTTTTTCCATTCAAAAAACCTGTAATGGACATTGTCCGGTTTCCGTAATTACTTAATCCCTCAACGACCGCGCACACGCCGGTGTTACAGTTAACAATAGATTTCTTAGAAATTTATCTGGAGGTGTTAAATATAGCCTCTTGACTCTTGAGACCTAGACTATGTTTTTTTCAACAATCAGGTTATTTTTGGTGTAGATGGGGGTTTTATAATAAGATAGTTAGTTATAAAAAAAATCAAAAATATTATAATTAGTAAATATTCCAACTTTTTTCCTCGTATTTTAACAAAATTAAAGTTCAAACTACTAAATTCGTTATTTAAAACCAAAAACTCTTATTTTTATAGCTAAAAATAGGTATATTAGTCCACCTATGATCTAGCTGACCCAAATGCAGTTAGAGGACTTCACACTTAGAAAACTTGCTAGGTAAATAAACAAAATATTCTTATAAAAAATCATTTATTTGGCAAGATGAAAGATAAAAATAATTTAGACAAATAAATACTTATTGTAAACTAGCATTGCCCGCGGCTCCGCCCGCGTTTGATGACCAAAAACTAAATTCTTCGGTTTTACATATTAGTATACTCTTACAATTCTGTTTTTGTATTTTTACCGAGTCAAAAAGTATCCTATATGTTGACCCGGATAACCAGCTAGCATCATATCAAATTTCATCAAAACCTGTCCAGTGGTTTTCTCGTGATGCGTTAACAGACAGACAGACAGAAACAAACAGACAGACAGACAAAAAATCTAAAATCTATAGATTCGGACTCTGTATCGATAATTAATAGACATTCTATTTCAATTAGATTTTCCAAAAAATATTTAATGTACAGATTCGACTTAGTTACAATTTTATTATATGTATAGATATACTATTGGAATATATTTTTTAAACGGTTTCAGGTGTGGCATGACGGGCAGTTAAGACTAGCTTATAACATTTGTTGGTTAATTATTTTTATACATTTACGCGAACATTTGACATTTTAAATAAAATTATCTTTTCGGATTTTTCGCGATTTATTTTAATTTTTGGTTCGCGACGGGGTAGGTCTCTCCCGTGACCATGATTGCTGTAAAGCATTCGAAACGTCGAGAACCAAAAATCTAAATAAATCTGCGAAATAATAGTATTACAGTCTTTTCAAGTCAGTTAAAATTTTTCGTTTTATTTAACAATTTCTTATCCAAAATAATTTTTAAACATATAAGTTGTATATATTTTTGAAAATGAAAATTTAATTCATTCCAAAAAAAATTTTTCAAAACACAAATTGCCACCCAAGATCTGTTATTTCCAACCGACTTCTTCAAAAAGGAGGAGAATTTGCAATATGGCTCTTCTATACTTACAAGAAATAAAAGTGTATTAATATAAAAAAATACAATAATCACAAAATTAAACCAGTATCTTATCAAAGCTTTGTGAAAAGCTTTAATAATAAGCAATTTTTGATACAATATTACAAAATGAAAACAAAACTAAAAAGAATTTTAAACCTTTTTATAAGTAATTCATTATGCATTAGAGGTGGGTTTGCTTTAAATACATTTTATTTTATAGAGAAAGTGTAAAATGACTATTTTATTGTACTTATAAGCCTAAACATATAATTATTATAAATTAAAAATACTAATGCCCGATTTCACCAACACCCCATAAGCCAATACCTACCGTATGGGATCCCTAGCTTTAAGGTTCCCCTAAACTAGCCCCTAAATTAAATTTCGTTTACCATCGTCAGAGCCCGTATTTCTAGTACCTATATTTAGGTGGCATTTTATTATTATTTTTTAATTTTTAGGTGATCTACCACCCTAACTGTCGGTGAAACAGAAACTGTCCCCTAACAGCCCCCTAACCATGCTTAGGGGATCCCTTAAACTTAGGTGACGTTGGTGAAATCGGCCATAAGACTCGCTCCAAAATCTTTAATTTGATTTATTAGTCATAAAAACACAATGATATATAAAAATTAAAAACAGATACACATTGTATAATAAATATCTCTCCAAAAAGTGGCGACGACATGTTAAGTCACACCTAAGAATAAAAATAACAAATCGAAAGCTCTAATTGTCTAAACACAAATTCGAACTTACGCACACCACATAGAGTACTTTTTTAAACGGAACAACGTGCGTTTTAATTTTGTCATATTCTGAAAAGCAATGAACAAAAAAGATTTGAAAGAAGCGCACAATTTCGAATTGAGCTTTTCTTTCTGAAAAAACTTTTAAGACGTCAATTGTGTATCTTGTTATAGTTTTTGTATATCAATGTAAAACATCATATAATTTGATATTTATGACACTTGAATCAAATTTCAGATTTGGTGCAAGTGGCCCTAAATAAATAAAATTAAGTACATCTTAGGTACATACTTTGGATTATTTGCTTTTTGTGGCAAGCCTCAGTAAAACCACATATCTCTACAGAGGCAAAGTTTCATGCAACCTACAATAATAGGTATACTGACTTGTGTATGTTACAACTCAACAGAGTTCACGTATGCACTACCAGTTGACAAAACCGTTTTTTTCGGGTTCGAGCTGTTGACAATTTCGATCGGAGTGTCAGGCTCAAAAAAACGCACACTTGGAGATCTGTCATATATTATTTGAATATCTACTACATGTAGACTTATTGTTGAACGGTTGTATGTAATTTTACCTCTCTAGGAATACTTACATGTGAAATTGTGAACTTACATGAGAAATTGTTAATACAAATTGAACCTAACCTGAAGAGTTTTAGTATAAATTAATATATAAAATACATATTCATGAATTTATACAAATATTTTTATAAATAAATTGTTAACATTTGTTTCTAGACCATTTGTATGTAGATCTGAGTTAACGGTAGTGTATAACATAATTAAATGGTTTGTCCTGGTTTTGATGGCCTATTGCAGTACATATATATTAAGAGAATATTTCTAAAATAATATTAGATCCACTTTTGTACTATATCTTAGGAAAACCACTAAAACCTTAGACAAAAGACAGTATAACTTATTCAGGTCTTATGAAATAGAAACAAAATATCACTAAACAGAAGGTATGATATGTTAAAAAACATAAATATACTGTTTATATATAGTTTCTTTCAGTAGTTTTTCTCAGCTGTGAAGCTCTAAAATAGTTGTAGACTTCTGATACTCAGTACAAATGTTTATAATTTACTGCTGATTAAAATATAAGCAAATTATAGACACTGTTATTGTTATAGAATGACGTGTTCGCCTATAATTGGTAATATATAGTAATTTAAATGCAATAAGTAGTAATAAGTAAGCAATTAAGATGTAAGGCATGTGTTAGATGTAAGTTAATATGTACAACTGTTGGAGATCCATACAAATAAATAAATAAATTGAATTGAAGCTCTTTCGCTTCACTATGACATGTTCTAACATACAAAGAATGTCCTTTCATTCATAGTTTACTTTATCCAATACTTAATAGGCAAAGTCTTTAGCCCAATCACATATTTTGCTGCAAAAATTTCCTCTCATTAATACAATTCTCCAATTCATCATGATATTTATCAATTTTACTATCAAATCCTGGACTTTGAATGTCGCAGTCAAAACTGTTGCCAGTTATTATTTTTTCTTTATTCAATGTAGAGTCAAACCTCACTTTCTTGCCTGGAGTATATGAACTGCGGGACAGATCACAATTATCATCATTTTTTTCTTTTAATGGAGTAACATTTGTGTTTAAACGAGTATTTCTTATTGTTTTAATTGTTTCATATTCATGTTCATCTTCAAGTTCTTCAATTTCAATTTCATCAGAATTATCCAAGTTCAATGCTGGATTAGCTATACCGGAATCTTTTTTGTCTAATTTCTGTTTTGGAGGTTTTCGTGGAACTTCATATGGATTTAAGGTGGTATTATGTTCCACTTTCTCGCCTTTAAATTTCTTTTTCAAAGTCTTAAAAACTTTCTTTGATAGTTTATTGCTGACTTTAAATAAGTTATGTTTTAAATCTCTTTTACTGTCGTTGGATTCGTTAGAATTATTTGCTGGGCAATTTTTATTCAAATTCATTATATCAACAGCGCTAAATTGTGAAACATCAAAACCTAATATTTTACTTTGCTTATTAAAAGTATCTGGTATGTCTTCCCCTATGTTTTCATATATAGGACTCTCAGAACGATAGCTATCTATATTTTCATATTCATGACATTCAGTGTTCACTGATTCGTTTACCGTTGAAATTGTACTGTTTGTATCAGATATAAACAATTTCCTTGGTACTATTACATTCAGTGAGTTATTCAATGACACATTTATTGCTTCAGCATTATATTCTGACTCAACATTTGTTTCATTTTGATCTAAAAAAGGATTTTCCCCAACAGCTACTTCATTTACGTTTAAATTTGGATCTAGAAATGGATTTGTATTTTTCTTATTTGGCACTAATTTCTTTTTGGTTATAATTGTGATTGTTTTAATTTCCATTATATTACTTTCATTCAAATCATCATCAAAGTATAAAGATTGGTTTGAAGTACATGGAGAGTCTAAAGCTAGTCTATCTATGAAGCTTAAATTTAGGTTACTCGAGTTATTTACGAATATTTGGTTAGTCACATTAGTCTGTATATTAGTAGTGCTATTTATTGCTGATATGTCATTATTATCTAAATCACCATTAAATGTAGCTGTGTTTAATGATTTATGTTCAAGAACTGATATCCCAGAGTCAATTTCTAATGCACTATCAACTGTTTCTAAGTTTGTATTATCAATACTCTGTTTGGGCACGACAATAGTATTATTTAAATTATTTTGTGTTATTTCACTTAAATTAGCATATATAGGCTCAATACTTAGGGTTTTCATAGGTTTAATAGGAGTTTCATTTTTTTTTACATTTTTACGTACATTGTGAAGTTCTCTTTGTAAAAATTCATTCACTGCAGATTTGCTTATGCCTAAATCTAATGCACTGTTTTCAAAAGTAACTACATCACAACTTTTGGTCCGCTTACGTCTTTTGTTTGGTGTTACTTCCATGGCAGTGTTAACCATAGGATCTTCGTTAGCAAGGAGATCCAGTGCTGGATTGAGATAAACGTTTGGTCCTGCTTCAATCTTTCTTTTAGCAGATTTTACCTCAAATTGATTGTTGTCTATTGTGTTCATGATCCTGGAAATTGAATAAAGCAATATTTGTAATATTTTTAAAATACTTTTTCTTTTAATAAGTTGTGAATGTAATGACAATAATTTTATCTTAACTTAAGATAAAATATAAGTTTTAGTTATTGTTTTACACATAGAAGCAATTATAATCTGATTAAATCTAGTTTTTTCTACATCTATTATATTTCTGCAATTTTCTTTTACCTATTCAATAACATACAATCACATATTAAAATTAAACTTTATTTAACAAGAATAAATATTTTAATACTAATTTATACTAATCCCTGACCTTTGTAATAATGATATTTATTTGTATTTACTGTATTTATGTTTTCCTTGACACACCTATAACTTTAACTTTTTTTTAATAAGAAATTATCTATTAAAATAGTCTAAATTTTACGAATCCATAATCATTTCTAATCACAGAAGTTCAAAGAATACATAACAAAATTATTCTTCTCAGTTTTCATTTATAAAATTGATCTAATCACAAAATTTATAGAATACGTAACGTATTATTCACTCACCCATTTAAACGTTTTCTATCCAGAATTCAAGCAGCCTTTACCACTTTTAGAACTTATTATTTCGTATTTTAGTATTTAACATAAATTAAGCACAATTTTAGTATAACTTTCATTTATAAACTTCACTAATATTAGCACAGAAGTTCATAAACACAGCAGGTGTTTTACGACGGTTATTATTTCATTTGACATTTGTTTGCCGCCGCATTCTTGTTTCTCAGTGTTGCCGCATTAAAATTAGTTAATGCCATTAAAAAAAATAACACGAAGAACCTCCTACTAACGCCATCTTGTTTACTATTAGGAAACTATTACACAAGAGTAATATATTTTCTTTTGTTTAAAAATGCCTTGTTTCAGATGTTATATATACTTTGAAAGCTATTAACTGCAGCAAACTTTTTTGAAATTATTTCGCTTTATAGTTAATTATCAATTTATTTTTTTACAGTGATTAAATGTCCATAATGGCTACTAAATATTGAAAGTTGAATGTTTCAATATTACATGTAGACATTTGCAATCAAAGTAAGTAACAACTTGTCGATATGGAGTATGCTCACCGCCAATGATTTTAAATAATTACTTTTCAACTAACAGTACAGCCACTATTAAGTCACAATAAAATAAAATACTCTTTCCTCAGGAGTGTTTTTTTTTATATTTATACGGTACCACTATCTAGGTAATATAATAAATCGTTTTTCATAGTCGGTCAAACATGTGTTTAAATATTGTAATCCTTCCTAATAATTTTTGTCATACAGATCGACGTGACTTTTTATGGGCTGAATAATATAACATGTATGAGGACCTAAATAATAATTATTGCCATAATTGTGCTTACGTAATTTTATTAGATGTTACCATAAATAAACAAAATCAACAGCAAATACTTTATTTTAGCACTAATATAAATAATACAGGGTTCCCAGAACCAAATACATTATACATATAAACAAATATCACATTGGAACACAAAAGCTAAGTTCTTAAAATTACTAAAATATTGCAAACATGGTTCCGCCACCCAGAAGTACCAATGTCAGTACCATAAAAACCTAATAAGCAATTTCTATGTGCATTTTTTTTAAATTACTTCATTATTATTTAATAATAATGTTTTTTTTATAAAACTTTATTTCGAACTACAGTACATACATAACAGTTCTAAATTATTGTTGGAATTTTTTTACAAAAACAATATTAGACACTCAAAACTAAAAAGTAAAAACAGATAAAATATACAGAAGATAAGTTAATTTCAAACACTTTCAATTCCCCATTAGTATGACGTTATAATAAATAAAACAGTAATTCATATATTATTCTTGAAAATAAAAAAAAACATGTTTTGCCATATTGTTTGTTCAGATAACGACAAATAAGTAAATCCAAATTCACTATAAACAAATTAAAAAATGAAATGTAGGTCCAAGAACTACAATTAAGAATTTACAATAGAAGCTACATACAGAAATATTTACAACAATAAAAAAAATATTTCAACATACAAACATACATACATATACATATGTATATCTACAGTACAGTCCCAAGGTTAAATTGTAAAAACTTATTAGTAATAAATTTTAAACAACCACCGTTTCGACATGTTCCGTACCAATCCACAATATGAAACATGCGTGATTTTTCTTAAATTTTATACAATAGCTAACATCGTTATATGTATAATTGAATATATATATATATATATATATATATATATATATATATATATATATATATATATATATATATCCAGCTCCAAAAACCTAAAATTTAGTATAAAAAGAATAAAAATACACCGATACGAATACTTTAATCGCTGTTATGATAATACTTTGACGTCATATTCGGTCTGACCAATGGTGTGCGGTTCAACTACTTAGAATTTCCCAGCTATATTTGCACTTTTTAATAATTATTTCCTTAATCAAAAAGAAATTACATTAAAAAATATTGATATAGGCTTAATTCAAAGCTATAAAGATTATAAAAAAAAATTCACCTTTTTTTTAAATCACACGCATATTCCCTATTGCGTCTACCACTATCAAATTTTCGTAGAAAGAAAAGTAGGGGGGTCTCGTCATAACGAAGCTATTCGTGAAGTTTCAGCATGTTATTAATTATTAAGAAAAACCCATGGTGTACTGTAGACTAGATGTCATGGTGGCTTAATTAAGCTATAAATAATATTGCATATTGGAATCAAGCTTATTCTTTGAATCAAAATTTACTATGCTAAGTACTATATTAGCTGCAAATTTTAAAATATAATATGTTTAAATGTACAGGGTGAAACAAACGAATGGGACTTAAAAGAAATATACCTTAAATATTGATTGAAAAATTTCACACAACAAACATTCCATTATTACCGACTTTAGTAAGCTTTATAAAACATATTTAAGATATTTAATTATATTTTATAAAAAAGGAATATTTAAGAAAAAAAAGTTTCTACCATATCTCGTTCATTAGTTCCACCCTGAATATCTTACAAATTTTTGAAAAATATCTAATTTATCATGTTTATTTTATAGCATGGTAACACTAATGCAATTGACATTTATTATTTTTTTCTAATAAGGCTCTCCGCTAACAAGTTGCTAAGAATACTATTAATTTAATAAATCTTTTCTTATTATTATGGATATTATTAATAGGATGGATAGTTTTGTAATCGATATTTTGCACTGTTTTCATTTTTTATATCAATTCGAGTCATTTATTAAGTTAAATGTAATGTTTTTGTATTTTATAATTTTACATATTTATTATACGAAAAATAAGTCAAAGTATATTTTGATAACATAAAAAATATTTATTTATTTATATAATTTTTCTGTGGTAGCGCAGTGGTAACGCGCTTGCTTGGGAAACTTAGTGAAGCGGGTTCAAATCCCGGGTCTCGCGCCTCTGATATTTTCATGTGCGAATCATTTCCAACATGATTACCACTTATCATACAGCGAAGGAAAGCATCGTGAGGAAACCTGCATGTCTGAGAGAACCTAGCAAGTAGTCGAAAGACATGCTCATTCCACCCGCACTCGGCCCGCGTGGTGGTCTATGGCCTGATCTCCCTCGTATTTGAATGAAGGGAGGCCCACGCAGCAGGGTGACGTTAAAAAGGGCTGAATACATACATACATAATTTTTCAAATATAAACAAAATATTATGTTTTGTTTGTTGAATACCTATTACTGATTTTCTTTAAAAAAATATATATACCTAATAATAATTATTCCCATTAATTAATAAAGTTTCTAATTTAATATCACTAATCATTCGATATAACATAAAATATTTTATAGACGTCACAAGTTTAAAGTCTTAAATAGTTTTTTTTATTATTTTATCATGTCATGTGAATAAAATTGTTAAGTGTCATAAACACAAGTTATAAACTTTATTATTTTACATTTGTTGTAATTTTTTAACATATTTAGTATGAACGGTTATTAGAAAAATTAGACTTCGAAATAAGAATTATTTGCCTTAATTTTGGCACCTCTAATAAGAAGACATTTACTGGAAATTCATCTTAAAGTTAATCTACCCCGTGGAATAATAATTAAGCGCGATAAAAATATAAACCTTAAAATTTGTATTTTAAATTTACATACCTATTAAATAAAATTAGATCTAACATGTTCCTAGCAGGAATATCCATAGGATCTATACACATAAACAAAATTAAAGTTTCTGTGATTTCAAAATAACTATGTTTTCTCAAGTAGGTACTACATAGAGTATACCTTATCAATACTTAATCCCTCTACGACTGCGGACACGCCGGCGTTACAGATAACAATAGATTTCTTAGAAATTACCTGGAGGTGTTAAATAGCCCTTTTAAAAAAATTGTCTGTTTTTCCGTTTGTCTGGGGTAAAAAATTTAAAACGGCTTAACCAATAATAATGGCACTTTCAATGAAAGATAAAGGAGTCCGTATATTTTATTCGGAAAATATTTAGGCTTCCAGCGCGAAAATCGAAATTTATTAAAAATGACGCAAAATTCGAATTTACGATTTCATGAGAAAGTTCGCGATAGCTTATGTAACTCCTAAGGTACACTCACAATAAAAGAAATATCTATTGAAAACGTACCTAGGGACCCGAGCGAAGCCAGGGTAACTCACTAGTATTCTATAAAATAATAAATATTGCCATCCTTCGAAATAAGACTTTCCCGCATTTTATTTTCAATAGAGCCTATTTGATTGATCTTTCATATTATTTAGTGATGTCACTCAATTATAGTGAAAATCGATTTTTAATTTCATTAATATATATTTTTTTTGTTTTTAGTTTTAATTACCTATATGCAAATCATCATATTGTTTTTTAACCTGTCAAATAACCTATTGCGTCATTTGTGATAGCTACTACTTTATAATTTAAATATATTCCGCATTCGTGTTTTTAGCTTATACCAATTGTAAAAAGTTTCGTATTTAAAATTTTAAAATGATTTATTTCATCAACAATCATTAATATACCATTCATATTTTTGAAATAACTCGAAATTATTTGTGCATCTTTGTATATTAATTTTGTACTAATTAGTTGTCATCCCATCCCATTTTAAACTCAAAATTTAATCTATTTCAAGATTTTTGAATGCTTTCTCCATAGCTTTTTCTCGCTTTTTATCTGGTAATGCATTTATTCTCTGTTCCTCTTCAGCTTTGAAGTATGTTTCCAATGATTTAAGGGTTTGTATATTCTTCTTGTGCAACGTTTGAGTATCCGGTAGAGTGCCGCCATAGTCCGGTGGCAAAGCGCATCGAGGGACTATTGTTTCATGAAACATTTCCAAATTTACATTTTTGTGATGGAATTTTATCTGTAAATGAGAAAAAAAAATAATTAAATATTTTACACGATATTTTCGCACAAATCTATACATATAATAAAATTGTAACTAAGCCGAATCTGTACATTAAATATTTTTTAGAAAATCTTATTGAAATAAACATTATTTATTATCGATACAGAGGCCGAATCTAAAGTTTTTAGAATTTTTGTGTCTGTCTGTCTGTCTGTCTGTTACCGCATAACAGAAAAACCACTAGAGGGATTTTGATGAAATTTGGTAAGACGATAGCTGGTTATCCGGGTCAACATATAGGATACTTTTTACCGCGGGAAAATGTCTAATTTCTGAGAAAAAATACAAAAACTGCAATGTAAGAGTATACTAATATGTAAAGCCTAAGAATTTGGTTTTTGGTCATCAAAACGCGGGCGGAGCCGCGGGCAATGCTAGTATAGATATAAGAATAAATTGTGCAAAATATTTGATTTCCGTTTAAAGGTATTAATTATTTCCATAAAAAAAGACTTACATGGAAACGTAAATTTAGTTAATGATAGGTGTCGATCGTAAAGTTATATACCCAGACTAGCGGAAAACAAAAACAAACCTATTCCACGGGAACCGTACATTTTTCCGGGATAAAAAGTAGCCTATGTGTTTTTCCAGACTATAATCAACTCATACTCACAAACTTTCACATCTATACTAATATTATAAATGTAAAAGTTTGTGAGCATGGATGTATGGATGTATGTTTATTTGGCACAGAGATAGTTTATAGTCTGGAATAACACATAGGCCAATTTTTATCCGGGAAAAACGTACGGTTACCGTGGGATAGGGTTGTTTTTGTCTTGCTATAGGCGAATCCGAGCGAAGCGAGGTTGACCCGTTAGTTTATAATATTTATACAGATTATAGACAGTTGTCAGTTAAATATTCATATTTTAGATCAAGGTGGGTAGTCTTGAATAATGTATTTCGATAATTTAGTCTTAAATATATTAAATGAGCTTACTATTTTAGTTTTACAGTTCTAATTATCTGTATTTTTTTTTTAATTCATTTTAAGTGCTGACTATGTTGCTGGTAGGTTAAACAAATATTCTTATCTATACATTAATTATAATATTATTATCTACATAGTTTTTCGTTTACTTATTTCATTTCGTTTACTGTTGTATGTTAATCTAAATATATATTATATTATAATTATGTATAACACATAATTTTGGCTAAATCTGAAGTAGGACTTGCAACATATATTTATATATATATATATATATATATATATATATATATATATATATATATATACATATATATATAAAATATTTTACAAGAGTGCTCTTTGTAGATTATAAAAAAGATACTTTGTTCGCTTTTTTTCGTAGTGTCTTTTAAAAATATTATGACAAAGTTTTTCCTATCAATGAAATGAATATTATTATTTGGTGGAAAAAGAGTGGTGGTAAGAGCCCTGTTATCGCGAGTTGGACTAACACTTGTTAGTTTTTATTTTTAAGGTTCCGTATGAAGGGTGTCAACGCAACCCTATTACTAACAATAAGCCTAAAAAACTAAGATGGCGAATTATTAAAAGGCCACCATGCAAATTAAAAAAATCTCCGACTCGCTCTTGACCGGTTTTTTTTTATTTTTTCATCTAAATTAATAGTAGGTATTACTACGAATTTGCTAGAATAATATCTGTATACCTTCAGACCGTATTAGATGGTGTCCCCGATAACAAAGTTTCCTAAAGCAACTTCTATTACAATAAATATGTTGGGACATTAACACACAGCACCATCTAGTTCCATGGTAAGCTACGAGGCCTGTGTTATGGATACCATATAGTTGATACACTACACATATATAACTTTAAATGCATAGTGAACATACATATCTATACAAGTATTATAAAGAGGTAAAGTTTGTGAGGTTGTGAGTTTGTGACGTTGTAGAGGGTAATCTCTGGATCTACTGAACCGATTTAGATGAAATTTGCTTAGAAGGTAGTTTGAGACCCTCCGAAGGACATAGGATGCTTTTTATTCCGGAAATCATCCCTTAAGGGGGTTCCCTAATGGGGATGAAAGTTTGTATGGTGAACCAACCTAGGGACGAACCCGAGCGAAGCGAGGGTGAGTCGCTAGTTATAGCTACATAAATATGAACACCCATGACTGGAGTAAATCACACAAATGAATGCCTTCAGCGGGACTCGAACCAGCGAAAGCTGGCGCAACAGGTAGAGTCACTTCAAACTGAGCCAAAAGTATCGTCAAAACAACAATACTAACTTTATCCTATTATTTTGTCACATATCACAGGCCAAATAGGTTAAGTGAATCGACCTGAGTATTGATTTGACGACAGACTTAATTGAATTAAACTTTATTAGGTATCTGTACTATTTTTTTTTATTTATTGAGTATAAACCGTGCCTATAAAAAAAAGAAAGTAAAATGGCGTCTTGTAATTGCAATGACAGATGAAAAGGTCAGCGAAAAACAACGAAATAAACAGAACATTTTACATAATATTATGTTTACATAAATAATAATGACTTTATAGTTTATACTAAAGTCTAGAAGGCCAGCATCTTAATATAAAAAAAATGCATATAATCTGTTTAAAAACATTATTTGAAAAAAATATTTGTAGCATATGCAAAAATTCTGCTAATTATGCAAAAATGGCTGCTACACAAAGGGGAAAGGGATTAGATTTCATTGTGTAGTGTATTTGTGTATTAAAATAGTTGTAATTTATATTGTAAAAAATATTGTTATGTTTTTAAATTGTAATGATAACCTTGCTACGCTTTTAATCGTTTACACAATTAGATATTTTTTCGCTTACAATATTGTATGATTGATAAAAAAACTTACCATATCAAAAAACTTTTTGTCCATGAATGGTCTGATAAGCATTAACAGCTTGTCGAGGATAGGCTCTGTGTTGAACACATGGATCGCGCGCATTCTCACCGGCATCGCCTCTTGGACGTATTGGAAGAATTTACGTAACGACCTAGAATTTATTGAATAAATTATCATAATTATATATGGCCATACAACAAACAACAAAGACAACAACAGAAATAAAAAAAAATATATACAAAAAAGGCGCTAAATGCTCCCTTATATGTTTTTAAAATCTGTATTTTAAATATTATGTGGGTAATTTTTAACTAAATTAAATATGAGTACTTAATACCTTAAAATATAAGGTAGGTAATAATATGTAATATTTTCTCTAGTATTGATGTTAAAGCACCTAATTAGTGATTACAGGAAGTCAAGTCAAGTTTATAATAAAAACAAAATATAATAAGAAATATAAAGAATATACATAAAGGATTTAAAAAATACATATGTTAAACAGAAAAAATAATATTATAAGTAAGTAACACAACACCAGTCTAAGTACCTACAATAATGAGACAAAAAAAATAAAAATGTATTTCTTTTTGTCAATAAACATGCATAATATAAACATTTAAATATGTATTCCAATGTAGATATAAAGTTGTGAATTATTTAAGTCTTGGAATGCATCTAAAAATGGCGAAGCATGATCGACGCGTTTTGCGCTTTTACCTTTGTCTATCCTTTTGAAAGCTAGGGACATTTTCACAATATAATTAGTGGATTTACTGTGTAGAGTTAAACAACTACCAGGGTCGTAGATTCGATTTCTTCATCTAATAAAATATATTATTGTTTTTTAATAATAGTATAATCAAAGGCCTACGCGGTGAAAAATCGAGAATGGAAAAATTATGCCATTTTATTTCTTACATTAAGGTCATATGTGTAATAACTTTATAGTTTATACTATTTAATTGAATATAGCTAACTTGTGCAAAATGCAATGAAAATATAATTGAAATGATAAAAACCCCGTACACTACAGACTTTGTATCGGCGAATATTTAGTCGGGTGTATAATATAAAAACTTAAAAACCGACTTCCAGGCACTAAAATGTAAAAAATAACTAAACGGGGGTTTTCATTTAGAATAGATACCTAATCAGATATTTTCGAAGTCGGTGCCAGCCGACGCATAGGAAATCTAATATATTTTGATACATATAATTTACCTATTAGATATTCATATCTTAAAATATTGTCGGCTAGCACCGACTCCTTTTTTTGGGAAGTCGGTTAAAAATAATCATCAGTATAAAGTTTGCTTTAATGCATCTTTTATGTTTACTAAAAGTCGTTTTTAAATCCTAAGTGGTTAGCCCATGAACACTAGTGATCGTGTAATCAATTGCTGCAAAAGATTCAAGATTTGTACCTATGTAATTTATACAGGTGGAACAAACGAACGGTATAGAAAAAAAAGTTGCTGAACTGGTAACCGAACCAACTAAAATGCATAAAACACACCGTCGCTATTTTACTAAAGGATAAATTATTTCAAACCAAACATGTATCTGTTCATTTGTTCCATCCTATATAATATATAGTATCCCATAATTTTTGTGTTGCTTTATATTTAACTGACAAATATATATCTAGCCTTTACTCGTTTTGTTTTTTGTAGGGTATATTGTATAGTACTTACGATAAACTAACTCGCGTGAGATGGCCGAGCTTGACACCCCGCATGTCAAAGAGGAAGATATAACCGGGCTGTGGGCCTCGCTTGCTTAAACACGCATCTGTAAATGATACAATATTTAAAAATTCTTTTATGTTTTTGAATTCTCTACTTAGAATATCATGGACATTATATTAATTCAAATGAATTCTCTTGTTGTTGGCTTCAAAGCGTGCCAGTTGAGCTTACATTACTTCGCCAATGTCACGTAGAATTGAGAATAATTGGACCCAGTTATGCAAAAAACAGCCATGTGCGTAAAAGTACCAACAGAGTTATAAGTATTTTTCTGTCGATAGTTGCACTTGGGTTATGTTTTGTTTTTCTGGTTATTTTAAAATTGAATAATATTTATATAAGTATTGTTTATTTTTTATAATAAAATGCTTATGGTACTTTTACGCACATGGCTGTTTTTTGCATAACTGGGTCCAATTAAGAAATAAGAAATATTAATGGTTTAAATCACTATTAATTAAGTTAGCAGCTTAATTATAAAATATTTCTAATTGGAATTATAATTCAATTTTATCATTAACAGTGATATACCTCTAATTTGGTTTCAATTAATAAATAAGGAGTTATTTAAACTCTATCTTTTAAGTCGAAATTAAATGCAAATTGCTTCTTATTTAATTAAGATAAATTGATTTTCAATATTTTTTGATTGCAAATCAAATGTTTTTTTTTAATATAGTTTAATATCCTAAATAAATTAATTTGATCAATTTAATATACCTTGATTTCATTCATGATAAAGTCCAATTAATAATATAAATATGAAAAAAAATCTAATTTTAAATCAAGTAAAAAAATTTACTAATAAAAAGGTTGGGATTATAGGAAAAATTAATGCGATTTCTACATCAAAAATTAAAAAAATCATTGTAATGAGAAAAAAATGTACGTAGACGTTTAAATGATACGTTCAGTTTAACCTGGCGATATCAAGGCCACCTTTTTATGAAATGTTCCAACATATCATGAAATGATCAAGGAGAGCTACCGCGCCATTCTCCACGAGGGGCGCTAGTGTAGAGCGAGGTCTCTAGAACTGTCAATGTTAACTGCTTGTGGGCTTTTTATCGCGGATTTTAACAAATTATGCGTGATCATTTTAAACATTGTGCCATTTCTGATTAATTATGGCACACACTGTACAGCTCAACAAATGTTTTTGCTTTAAAAGAAGAGATAAGAAAAAGTCAATAATTTATCTATTTGGTTAAATTATATTGATTTTGTAAAACCAAATCTTGATAAACTGGTGCCATGCTAATAATAATAATTATTATTATTATATTGAATCTAAGGCCCGGTCGCACTAACAAATACTTTTTGACGACAGCGATAGGACTTTACTCGCCAGTGGCGCCAATTGGTGCCGCCAGAAACGAGAGATCTCATTCTACGATCTGGCGACGACATGCCTAGCAGTGACTCAATAATTTCTATACGTAGGTGTGTGTCTGCCATCTTTGGCAGAGGATAAGTATTTGATTTCATCTTTGAGGGTGCAATCTATTGATTATTGACAATATGAATCATTGTATTCAACCCCTTTTAACGTCCCACTGCTGGGGGTGGACCTCCCTCCAATACGAGGGGAATCAGGCCATAGTCCACAAAAGCTGTCTTTCTAAAATTTGGTAGATTTTCTCAGACATACAAGTATCCTCACGATGTTTTCCTTCACCTAAGGCAAGTGGTAATCAAGTTAGAAATGATTCGCACATGAAAATATCAGAGGTGCGAGTCAAGGGATTTGAACCCGCTTCCCTCGATTTCTCAAGCGAGCGCGTTACCACTGTGCTACCACTGCCTATGTACATAAATCATTATTTTTGTTTAATTAAACTAAAGTTACTAGGAAATTACATGCTTGGTAACCACCAATCAACATAGCTTTTTATATCAGATTAATATTATAAACGTGGTAGTTTTTAAGCCTTTGTTTAATTGAAACTTAAAAGAGACACAAGGACGAATTGTTGGCACATTATAATATTTATATACCGGTTTGGTAGTTAATGACGTACTTTAAATTAACGTAACGCGGAATGATGAACAAGATAAAATAAAAATAAAAACCGGCCAAGTGCGTGTCGGACTCGCGCACGAAGAGTTCCGTACAATTATATATAAAAACGGCTAAAAAAATCATGTCTGTTGTATGGGAGCATCCTTAAATATTTATTTTATTCTGTTTTTTAGTTTATGTTGTATAACAAGCGGCAACAGAAATACATCATCTGTGAAAATTTCAACTGTCTAGCTATCACGGTTCATGAGATACAGCCTGGTGACAGACGGACATACAGACAGACAAACGGACGGACAGCGAAGTCTTAGTAATAGGATGCCGTTTTACCCTTTGGGTACGGAACCCTAAAAATAAAAAAACACATGCTATATAATTATTTGTTTTTGCAACATAATTACCACCTATCTTACGGTAAAACATTGTGAGAAAACCTGCATGACTGAGAGGACCTAGCAACCTTTCGAAAGACACGTGAAGTCCGCCAACCTGCATTTGGTCAGCGTTGTTGACTATATGGCCTAAACCCCCTTGTATTGAAGCAAGGCCCGTGCCCAAAGGGGCGTTAAAAAAGGCGGAATACAATATTTGTATTTTAAGTATTATTATTAGGTATATTTATGTATGTATGATTATTGATTGCTCTATTCTTAGACCGGCCATACTCGGACTGTTCGAGCAGTTAGCCAGTGATCAACATAAACTGATCGCTCTTTCAGTCGTAGACAACAGCTTGAAGCTGCTATTGATATCTGCTGGAGCTGGAGCAGTTGATACCAAATGCAGCAGTACTATACTAGTACAGATGCCTCTTCCCATACAAAGAATTTGGACAGCGCTAATTCGGGCTATTCTTCGGGCTATTTTTGTTTGCTTTAATAGATAATAGATGTCGTTGATTCGCAAATAGTCAAACTGTTTTATTTTATAAATATGTGCAAACTAAAGAATGATAAATATTGTAAAATTCATCCTGGATTTGAATAAAAAGAAATCAGGAATTTTAACAATTTTTAACCGTGATAAACAATTCATAAAAAGCAAAAGCGCTGATATTTCAATAATCTGTAAAAATACGCAAATATGATTTACGGGCGCTTTATTTCTTTTTCCTTCACTACGAATATTTTTTTATTATAACAATAATATACCTTTGTGGGATCTCTTTTTTATCTTTTGTTAATCTATATATATAAAAGAAAGTCGTGTTAGTTACTTCGCTTATAACTCAAGAACGGCTGAACCGATTTAGCTGAAAATTGGCAGGGAGGTAGTTTAGAGCCAGGAGAAGGACATAGGATACTTTTTATCCCGTTCGACCGCGTTCCAATTTTTATGATATTTTAATTTTTGGATTTCTCTTAGTCCGGAATAGGTAAGTATTAAAACATATAATTAAAATGTGAGAAAGAAAGATTTTTTCTTTTTATATCTATTTAAAACGTACCTAGCGACGAACCCGAGCGAAGCGAGGGTGAGCCGCTAGTTTAACACAAATTTAACAACAAATCGATACATGTAACGTCATCTATTGACATTTAATTGAACTAATTTTTCTTTGTTCATGATGAGACCCCATGCTACTATTAATAATACTAACTACTGATAGTATTTTCTTAAAGGTTCTTTTATCGCCATTTAACACCAAATAATATATCAAATTAATATTTATTATTTTATCAAAATTAATGATACTCGTATCTTAATTTAAAATGATATCATTTAAAAGATTATGTTCACCGCTAATGACGAATAGCAACCAAATAGTTTATTACATACATAATTTTTTACAACATTTAATAACATAATATTACATATTTCGTCTATCTCGGAAACGGCTCTAACGATTTGGATCAGTATTTAGATAAGTTTTTGCTTTTTTAATTTATCTATATAGGTAGTATGTCTTTCCTGAAAAAAAAGGCAATTCTTACATGTCTTCCAAAAAAACATGATAAAAACACGACAAGCGAAACGCGAAGCTCAGTCGCCTAGGTACTTAATATGAAATCCCCAATGTGCGTTCACCATATCGTGGTGGGGCGACTCATTAGCGACCGACAATCCAGCCAGACGCGAAGCCAAAAAACATACTGGGAGGCGGCCCACCTTGGAGGACGATGTACCATGCGGGTCTCTCCAGATCTGATAGGAGCAGAGAAAACTGTAGTAGCAACCCACCTGATGTTGTGGTCTGCTTGGGCAGACTTGCCGTCGTTGGGGCGTATTAAGACGGTGGCGGTTCTGTTGGGTTTATGTGGGTAGTACTGGCTAGATGGTATGCGTAATGCAAATCCCAATATATAAAAAAAAATTTAAAAAGAAAACTTAATATGAAAAATATATACAAAATCCAAATGTAATCTTATCAAGTGCTAGTTTTTGCCCGCAACTCTGCTTGCATGAAAAGCCGGACAGAGATAAAATATAACCTATGCTTGTCCGTATGATGCAATCTATCCCCTTGCTTAATATCATTGAACTATATTCAACAATTTAGGACCGAAAAGGTCACAAACTTACTTACTACCTACTTAGTGTAGATTAAAATCTTTAGATGGCGCAAAAATTAACTGAAGGACGTCCTAACAATAATCTGTATAAAGATATGATTTTTTTTAGTTTGATTTATAACCTTGCATATAATTATTGTGACGCTCACGCTGCGTAACAAACAAGTTTTTATATATAAATTAGATACATTATATTATAGTACTATTAAGTTATTAGATTACGCCTGATACAGTCAATTACTTTATACATAGAAGGTATGTATCTATGTACAATATTTCTATCACATATAATAAAACTGTAGAATTCGAATGTCTGTACATCGAAAAAAAAATGCTTAAAACCGAGTCAGGGGGATGTTAGATGAGAAATATAACAATTCCAGATTCTTTTCAATTTTTTTCTTTCTCTGTCTGTTTGTAGTTTGTACGGGCTAATCTCCGAAACTGTTGGACCGATTTAAATGAAAAAAATGCTAAAACACGTATTTATTTAATTGTATTAAAGAA